GAGGAGAGAGAGGAGAGGGGAGGAGACAGAGGGGAGGGGAGGAGCCAGAGGAGAGGGGAGGAGCCAGAGGAGAGAGAGGAGAGGGGAGGAGCCAGAGGGGAGGGGAGGAGCCAGAGGCTCCCACAGTGTGAACGCGGTCGGTCACCTTGAGCCCTTTCATCCCCCAAACAGGAGGTGCTGCTGCTTTTCTCCCCCAGACTTACATTCAGAGGCGGACAGACGGGAAGACCTCTGGCCCCTGAGACGGTGACGCGTCGCGGGTGGAAAGCAGTGGCCTTGCAGATGGTCCTCCCCGGGCTCTGGGCTCTGTCTGACCTGGAGGACTGGGTTTTCACCACTTTGCTCACTTCTTGACTCAGGCAAATTCTCATGACCCCTAAAGGCATTGGATGTAGAGCGGGGCAGCTAGAGTTTGGATCCCATTGATTTAGGAGGAGTTATGAACCCCGTTTGCACGGTAGTGTGCAGAAATATTTACAGGTGTTCTGAGGGAAATGCATAGGTCTTTCAAAAAATGACACAGGCACCCTTGACTCAAGAAAGGGAACTTCCTAGCACTGCTGCAGTGGTGCCCAGTGGTGCCCACTGTGGTGCATACTCTTGGAAATCTTGTCCTCCTCAGAACCGCGGACGGGGCTGGAGACACCTGCTTCCGCTCATGCCAGCCTGTCTCTTGGATCCCGTGGCAAATCTGTGGCCCGGGATCGGACCCACCTAACGCTTTACCTTCTGTGCTCCTTTCATCTCCGAGCCAGGAGGTGACTTGGGAAGGGCAGGCCTCCTCACACCTGGCTCCTCACACCTGGGTTGTACGCAAGGGGCTATTTAGTGCCCTGGCTCCAGGCGGTGGGAGGACGCAGTTTAGTTCCCCGGTGACATTTGCTCATGGTTTCCAAAGACCACAGATCTCTTCTGCTGGCTACATGAACTTTTCTACAAGGACATAATGAAACACACCAACAGGCACTTGCAGCTTTGTTTTTAATCTGTCTGACCTGTCCAGCCCGAGGCCTATCTTCCTCTGCTCCAGTATATCTAGGGGCTAAGCCTCCAATGTTCCCAAAACACACATGCCATTCCCTGCCTCCTGCTGTGGTCCCCCTCCAGCTACTGACCACACGGACCTCGTCTTGCTGGTCTTCTGTGACCAGCAGAGACTGGGTTCACTAGGGGTGGAAAGGCCAGACTCTCCCTCCTGCTTTGCACCCGGTGAGGCCTCTCCTCGGTGGTAGCCCCGGCTCAGGATACCTGTGTCCTCTGTCCTTGAATTTGTGACTAGAGACCAAGTGTTTTAATTCATTCTTATCTATATTCTTGCAGCACACCGGCTGTCTTCTGTCCTTGACAATTGCCATTTTCTTGTAACTGAGATACAATACTCAGACACCCACAGGTTCAGGGAGGAGAGGTTTACTGTGGCTCAGTTTTTAGAGGTTTCACTCTTTGATTGGCGGCTCCGAGGCAGAAGTAGTGTGGCCGAAGGGTCTGGCGGAAAAAGCATAGGACTTGGTGGCTAACAGGAAGCAGAGGAAAGAGGAGCGGAGAGGGAAGTCACCCCGTTAGGTCACCCCCCAGCGACCCGCCTCTAATCAGGTCCCTGCTCCTGACGGTGCCCACTTGGCTGCTGAACCTTGTGGGAGGGGCACAGCGCACTCCCGATCCAGGTGCCACCCAGCCCCGGTCTCTGAGCTCATAAAGTTTCCAGGGACATCCTAGGTCTCAGCACGACAACAGCGCTCTTACCTCGTGTGCTCTTTCTATTCTAGTGCACGTGGAAAGTGTCTTCCAACCCCACGAGCATCTTATTCTTTCATTAGACCCTCTCTGACCTCCTCAGTCTGAACCTTTCCCACTCTCTTTTGAGGGCTCAGATCTCTACCAGACATGACCATTTTCGCCCTAAATCTCCCTGTTGCACTTTTCTGCATATCTGGAAGCTGTTCTACATGTCCCACCTGCCTTGCAGCAAGGATGACAGCTTAATTCCTCTGCTTTCTCCTCCATTTCAAGTACCCAGAGCACAGGAAGCACTGAGTAAACATTTTGAATGAATGCATGCCAGAATGAATGACAGTTTCAATCTGAGCCCTAATTAGTTGAAAGGATAAGAGACACGCTTCATCCACAAGTAAGCAAATGTAACTGAAGTAGCAGAACTGTTCGGTTTCTTGTTATCATATCAAATATTTTTTGATTCTGAAAGTGGAGAGTTTATAATTGAACAGTTTATACCCAAGTGGAGCAATAGAGACCCTCTTCTCCTAGAATCCCACACTTACCTGGGCTTTTCGACCTGGAGTGCAGCTGCTGGTCAGATATGCAGAACGCTTGCTGTGTGATCATCACCCCACTGATCTCCGGAAACCAACACCATGTCTCTGCCAGATGAGATTTTAAAAATGCTGAGGGAGCCACCTTCCGTATTTTCAGGGTGCTGTGTTTCATCTGTTTGGTGGAGAAAGCTTCGGATAACGGTTCAGGAGGCAGACTGACACTTGGCCTGGGCCCGCTGGGGAAGCTCACTGCACCTCACCAGGATCAGCCCCCTCCCAGAGGCTCATGTTGCAGTTCCCACAGTTCACCCGCCTGAGTCCCCGGGACCCAGAGTTTTAGTCCTTTGGGGGACTCCTTCTGCAAGCCCAAGAAAGTCCTGATCAGGGTTCATTAAGAGATGCCAAGAAGGATGGGAGGCAGGCACGGAACCTGCCGGCACATGGGGCAGGAGTGTCAGCGGCAGGCACGGAAGGCGTGGCCCAGAGAACTCAGGGCGGCCCGCCCTAGCCACTTCCCTACACCTCTCCCTTTTCTCACCCACCTCATGGAAATGACAGCAGCGTCTCTGCCCACCCCTCCGAGTATATTATGAGGAGCCAGCAACGTGAAGGCTGTGAACATATAATAACTGACATCCAAGGTCTGTTCTGCTTCTCAGGCTCCTCTTAAGGTTTTGTGGAACTGGGATATGTGATCGAAACATAGGATGAATGCCTGCCATGAAAACATGATTACACTGAAAGACACATTGCCATTCAGTCCCCTCCGAACTCCCCTCACTTTGAACATGCTTGCTCGTCATTCTGACCTCTTTCTGAAGCAGCTCTGGAAGTCCTCTTTTGTGTCTTTTGTCG